TTTAACAACCGGTACTCTGGCTGGGTAGGCATGGCCGGTTGGTCATGTGACTGGGTGGGTGATGTCACTCATCACACCTAGCCCCGCCTCCTGGCCACTCGCCTCAAAGGAACAGGTAGGATTCAGCTGGTTGGGGATAATCCCACCGCTGGCTGGCCCTGCCCCCGCCCATTTTTCAGCCTGTTTTTCGGCCATTTTCAAGCCTTTTTTCAGGCTGTTTTTCCAGCCAAAACAGCCTGAAAATGGCCTGAAAACAGCCCAAAAGACAGGCCATTTTCAGGCCATTTTGGGGGGCAAAAAAGAGGCTGAACATGGCCCCCAAAGCAGGCAGGAGCTGGTGGTCCGATTTGCTGTTTCTCCAAACTGCACAGAATCAGAACAAGGGGTTCAGGCGAACCTGTCCAAACCTGCAGCAGCCCACGTCTGGTACCAGTATATATTTATTCAGTCAGTCAATAACATTTTACATTGTGACCCAGAAGTTTTGCTAATTCAACCCTAACTTTGTTTCAAGTCCACTGAATGAGTTAGCCTTCAATAAACTCCAGAAAACAACAATAACCCTGTTTAGATTCATATGAAAATGGTATTTTGTAAATCCACAGCTGAATAAACCTGACATTTTCCCATTTTCAGCTTCATCAAGAATATAACTTTAATATGAGACTTCCGGTTTGAGCTTCTTCGACGACAGACTGAAACCTCATCTCTGCGAGGCTTCGATCCGTGCTCGCCACTGGAGCGCCCCGAGCCGGCTGGTTTCAAGGCTAAGCCACCCCGTAGAGGTGGTGAAGAAGGGGGAGACTGCCTGCAGGGTTGAGGAGAGCCGCATCTCTCCTCCCCAGCTGGCCATTACTCCCTTTCCCGAAGGCGGTTGTAGCGGTGGTCAGAAATGGCCACCACAAAGAAGAACTCGACCGGAAAAGAATGTGCAGGAGGAAGATAAGAAGAGAAAGTTTTGGTTGACCAGATCAAACAGCAAAAGCAACAAATAAGGTACCCTGGAATTGAAACTATTAAAAAAAAACAATAACATTGTTCCCTAAGAAGATTTTTAAGCTGCAAAGGAGAGAGAAAGGGGAAAAGGTTTGGCTTTTTTTTCTCCTTTTCCTATACTGACAGCTAAGAGACTTAAGCAAGAAATTGGAAAAAAAATCCACTTTGACATTAATAGGCATTTAATGCTGAAAATAAAAAGTCAAAGGGAGAATAAAGATTTCTGGATAATCAAAAGCTTTTGAAAACAGGAAAGGAGAGAAAAAGAATAAAAGGCAGGATCTGGAAGGGAGGAGACTGCCTGGAATTAAAAAGAACTTACAGCAAAATCTCAACAAGACTTCAAAAGATACATCTTAACTGAAATATCGCAACAAAAACCCCAGGAAGAGAAAGTGGAAAAAGAAATAAGAAGAAATAACTTGGGACTATTTGAATTACTTGATGATTTCTGGATTTTTGGTTATTGTATTTGAATGACTAAAATCAATTGGGTGGTTGTTTAAAACTGTTTAAAATGGCTCCACTTTTAGAAGAACTGAAAATGGAACTTAAAAAGTACAAAGAAGATGCACAAGAAGGGAGAGGTTCTTTTGGCTTCGTATTTCAGTTTTTAGAAATGGAGATTTGGAATTATGAGAAACAACAAGAAATGCCTGCAGAACAAGAAGATTGCGACAAAGAAGAAGCCATCTTTAATGAACAAGTAATCTTAGGTGGGGGGAAAAAAGGAAAGGGGGGAAAGAGAATGGAAAGTTTAAGATTGGGAAAAACAACTCCCCCCTCCCCCCCCCCAAAAAAATAGAGTGAAAAATAAGTATAAAATCAGAAAGCAACAGAAGAGGGAAATGCAGAAGAGAGAATTAGAAATAGAGAGACAAGGGGGTAAAAAGGGAAGGGAGAAGATGAGAGGGAAGAAAGAAAGGAAAAGAAGTTATAAAGGACAGAAACAAAATATAGAGAAACAGGACCTGTTTAGAGATAATGGGTGAAAATTTAATGGAAAAAGGGATTCTGCAAAGGTACATAAGATAATATTGTTATATTAGAAACAGAAATAATTTTAGAAAATATGAAACAATGTATGATTAAAATGTTTGATAAAATAGCTATCGTAATTCAGTGGAATGCTTGTCAATAAATAAATGTAACAAAATGAATATTTAATGATTTACAAAACATATGTGAAGAGAAGGGAAAAATTAATTATGGAAATTATATGTGTCTTTAAGGAAGTATGATATTTAATTGAAAAGAAGTGTTAAAGATGTTCAGATTTTAATGATTATTAATGATAGAACTGAATTGGAATGGAATGAGGGTTTATAATTACATATATTTATAATCTTTTTTTTAAAAAAAGAATATAGTGTGTATTATAAGAATGTACCAAGCAGAATTTGATTGGAAGTTATGTATTATGTATTATATTGAAGGTCATAACCTTAAGGTATATATTGATGTTTAAATAAGAGTTGAATGATGTAATTAAAAGATATAAAGGTGTCATACTCCAATTAGTAACTACAGGAGAAAATTTGTTTAATGAGAAAAGATAATATGAGATTGAAACAGAACAGACAAAAGTATAAATATAATGATTTGAGATGAGATAATCAAAATAAAATTGAGAAAATTAAAAGAGGGGAAAAACTATATAGAAAATGTTTAAGTGTATGTAAATGTATAGTATAAGATATGGAATAGAACACAAAAAGGAGCATGAAATTGAGTTTTGTGTCTGTATAAAGAAGTTCACCCCGGGACCATGCTATTTTCAAAAAAAATGTTTTACTTGTATTTTGTATGTGTGAAAACCAAAATAAAACTTTATTTAAAAAAAAGAATATAACTTTAATATATGTCTCCATCACAAGTGAAATGACTTTTACTGATTTCTGTTTTCCACCTTTCTACTTTATTTAAAAAAATGGACATAGTTGCCAGGAACAATTCTGAGTGAAGCAAAAAGCTCCACAATTGTGATACGTTCATAAACTTTGTTAACCAGATTTATTTTCATAATGAATTCATTTTTTGATAACAGCAAGGAAGCCTGTTTGGATCATATGAATCATCCCAGTTAACTCATGCAAATCCTCCTCACAGTTCATTACTACTTCTTTTATAATAGTCATTGCAAAGCTCTCATTTCCAAACAGTAGGATGAAACCCAGTTGAATTCCTTTGTTTAATAATTGCACGGCAATATTTGAATAAACCACTTAAGGGTGAAATATTCCAATTCTTGAGGCAAAAACCTGTGTTCTGAACAATTCAAAAGAAACTTGAATCTGGATGAGATAAAAGAGAATATTCAAGTCACTAGTCAAAAGAATTGATCACAATGAAAACTGAATATACCCATTATCTTCCTTTCCACTCTTTCGCTCACTTCTAATACCTATATCAACTAATCTCAAATTTTGAGATCATTGGCCATAGCTCTCTAAAACTGCTCTGTGGTATTCCAAATCAGAAGCATGGCTGGGCAACCAACTGGCCCTGTGGGCAGCAGTTGTTATAAGGTTATAAGGTCCAGAGGAAAGAATGTCAAAATAACAGAAGAACAAATAGAGTTGGAAGGGACTTTGGAGGTCTTCTAGCCCAGCCCCCTGCTCAAGCAGGAAACCCTTATACCCTTTCAGACAAATGGTTGTCCAATTTCTTCTTACAAACTTCCGGTGTTGAAGCATTCACAACTTCTGATGACACCTCTGGTCCTCTGGTTCATAGCTACATTATTATATGTGTGTATATATTGTGTTCCTCCTTCTCTCCCTCCAGTGGGAAATTATACCCTCCAATGTTTGTTTGTTTGTTTGTTTGTTTGTTTGTTTATTTATTTATTCATTCATTCATTCATTCTTGAGATTTATATTGCCGCCTATTCGCACATGGTGACTTAAAGTGGCTTACAAGAATATAAAAACATCATATAAAAAACAATAAAACTAATAAAAGAGAGGATCATATAATAAATTAATAAAATAAAATAATAAAATAAAATAACCCCCTATACCCACCCACCCACCTCAGTGACCACACATCATACAAGCCATTTAAGGGGCTCCATCCCACTCTGGGTTCCCCAGGCCCAATGGCAGAACCAGGTCTTCAACTTCCAGAAGAGTATTATTGTGAGGGCCATTCTAATCTCTGGGGGAATGTTGTTCCAGAGAGAGGGAGCCACCACAGAGAAGGCCCTTCTTCTGGGTCCCACCAGGTGTATCTCCCTAGCGGATGGGACCCACAACATCCCTTGCCTCCCCACTCTAGTGGGTTGGGTAGATGTGACCAGCAAGATAATCCCTCAAATAACCTGGTCCCAAGCCATGAAGAGCTTTAAAGGTGACAACCAGCACCTTGAATTCACCTAGAATAAAAACAGGTGCTCCAGAGGTGGTATTCAGCTGGTTCTGACCAGTTCTGGAGAACCAGTAGAGGAAATTTTGAGTGGTTTAGAGAACTGGCAAGTATCACCTCTGACTGGCCCTGCCCCCATCTATTCTCTGCCTCCCGAGTCCCAGCTGGTCGGCTGGGTCTTCTTTTGTTGCCCTGCACAGGAGAACGGAGCTGGAAAGCAGGTTAGTGGGGTGGGGAATGGAGATTTTGCAGTATCCTTCCCCTGCCACGCCCACCAAGCCACGCCCACAGAACCGGTAGTAAAAAAAAATTGAATCCCACCACTGAGATGCTCTAACCGGGAAGTTAGTTATGACTGAAGCAGCACACAAGCAAGTTAAATGAATCAATAAATAACTGCAATCAGAAGCAATCAGTCTTGAGGAGTAAGGAAGAAACAACAACTAAGTATCCTTCTTCCTCTCAAGGCCAAGAGATCGCCAGTTTTTTGTTTCCAGTTGCAACAGGAAACCAACCAGCTGCAAAACAAAAAACAAAAAAACCTGCAAGTAAAGGTGAGGGAGAGATGTTCTTAGCTTCTTCATTTTAAATAGATTATCAAGCAACTCATTTCAAAAGCATATACAGTACATGTGTACCATTCACCCCGCAATTCCGTTGCTTATCTGTCCAGGCGTCCGGCTGTTTTTGCAAAGTCTTCTGGACGACGTTTGTCTTGTAGATTAGATGTGGATGTGCCCCTTCTCTTGATTCATATTTCTTCACTGGTTCAATAAAGTAGTCTCCATCAGGCAAGTGGAAGTAACCGGTCTAAGAAGAAATATTTGGATTTAATACATAATCATCATCTAAAAGGGAAAAATACCACTCACGCATCGTCACAAAATCTCCAGAACCGTACAAAACCTACAAACTTGAAATTTGGCACGTATGTTCCTCTTGGCTTCTAGCGGCTCGCTAAGAAAGGATTTTTAAAATGGTCATCAGAACATTAGTATTTCATATATTATTATTAACATGCTCTGATCCTATTCTACTCCCTCTCCCCACCTGAAAAGAAATCTCTTCCAAATGCAAAACACAAGAGAGGAGTTTCAGTTTCAGAGCAGCAACCAGCTTTAGTACAGAACAGTTGAGCTAAGGCATGCCCAGGCTCCTTGCTGTCTCCTTCTTGCTCACACAGAAAATACTGTTTCAGTTTCCAAACAGCCCTCAACTCTCTCACACACTGACAGGACGCTAGCCAGATGAATACTGATGGATCCTGGTAGGCAGAGGCACATGTTTTTCCCCGTATTTTCTTCCCCAAAAACTAAGCCCGATCACATAGTTTCGTAGAGAAGCATGGGTATAGAGCTAGTATTTCATATTTATGACATCCAAATAATATTTGGATGCAATAAAACAATCCATACACTTGCAAGCACACACCTGGGACCCCGTCTGATAGATGACAAGCTAGCTGTTTTGGAGGTGAGAGCAAAAGCTTGGATTGTGGAACAAATGTAATTGAGCAGCAATTACGCAGCTTGGAAGAATGATGCCAATCTGTTTCCAGACTGAAAGGCAGGGCTACAAGCTTGAATCTGATTGCGATGTCCACTGCCCTTGCTCTGCAAATTTATAAAGAATAGTTGCTAAAGTTGGCTCAGGTTTTCAAGACTGTCACTGTCCCTAACGCCAAGAAAAACCCAATGGCTTTGAGGTTAATGTCTTTGACCCAACTTTAGATAGGATTCCAAAAGTTTGCAGAGAACTTTCAGATCAGCTCTAGTCAGTGGAACAGGTGCAGCCCAACTCTTTGCTATGATATTCTCACATGATAATTGCACTTCATTGCAGTTAACAAAATCCTGGACCAAGTATTATACTGTTAAGTATTTAGCCAAGTTCAAACCTGTTTCCTTGTTTGTTTACGGTGTAGAGCTGTTCAGTAATACTTTAAGCATTTTATCTGAAACTGCCCACCCATTGAGAAAAGTTCAACGAAAGTGAGGGAGCGATGAACATAAGCTCCTTTAATGAAATTCACCCTTTTCATTTTGGAAGCAATTCTAACAGAAAACAAAGAATCAGTAGCAGATGGAAAAACAGTCCATTCTTGCTGAATTTTTTTTTCTAAAGAAGATTTTAACCGAGAGAAGAGTTTCAGAAGAACCAATTATCTGAAGAAGCTTCTCTTCAGTGGATGTGTGGCAACAGAGATTAAACAGTCACATATTTCATGGATCCTTTCACTTGGCTTTCTGCACTAAGTCGAGTCAGAATTGTGATTTATCAGCACAAATAAAACTCCAGCTGTCTTCTGTTATTTAAAAAAAATGCTTCATTTGCTACACCATGGCTAGTTTGTTCTTTTAAACAGTTTGTAGTAGGCATGTCACTCATAACTGTCTCATTAGCTATACAATTTTGAGGCATGAAAACTTTGTGCATTTACCAGAGGTGGTATTCAGCATGTTCTGACCAGTTCTTGAGAACCGGTAGCGGAAATTTTGAGTAGTTCAGAGAACCGTCAAATACCACCTCTGACTGGGCCCCATCTATTCTCTGCCTCCTGAGTCCCAGCTGATTGGCTGGGTCTTCTTTGGTTGTCCTGTGCAGGAGAACAGAGCTGGAAAGCAGGTTAGTGGGGTGGGGAGGGATTGGGGATTTTGCAGTAACTTTCCCCCAGGAGTGGGGAGGGAATGGGATTTTACAGTATCCTTCCCCTGACACGCCCACCAGCCACGCCCACCAAGCCAAGCCACGCCCACCAAGCCACGTCCTAGAACCAGTAGTAAAAAATTTGAATCCCACCACTAGCATTTACCCACAACTGGAATCCTTCACCTGTTCCCAGGCTTGGGTGAGTAATTACCGCCTCTTCTTTCAGTTTTCTGTTTCAGGTCCATGTACAGGTAGTCCTCAACTTAATTGAGCCCAACACTACTGTTGTCAAGTGAGAAATTAGTTAAGTGAGCTTTGCCCCATTTTACAACTCTTCTTGCTACATTTGTTAACGGAATTTGTTAAGTGAACAGTATAGTTGAATCTGGCTTCTCCATTGATTTTGCCCGTCAGAAGGCCTCAAAGGGTGATCACGTGACCCCTGCAACCATCATAAATGTGAGCCAGTTGTCAAGCATCTGAATGTGAATCATGTCACCATGTGGATAATGCAATGATCATAAGTGTAAAAAATGGTCATAAGTACCTTTTTTCCAGTGCCATTGTAACTTTGAACCATTACTAAAGTGAAATGTTGTAAGTCTAGGACAAGGGTCTTCAAACTTGGGCAAGTTTCAGACTTGTGGACTTCAACTCCCAGAATTCCTGGGATAACATGACTGGATTGGAGGAGGAATTCTGGGAGTTGAAGTCCACAAGTCTTAAAGCTGTCAAGTTTGAAGACCCCTGGTCTAGGACTACCTGTATTCATATATAAAAGCATCAAGCAGGGGTGGGACCCCTATTTGGTAGAACCAGTTGTTAACATTCTAAGCAGTTTGGAGAACCGGTTGTTAGAAGAAATTACTGGCCCAATCCTGTAATGAAGGCAGGAAGGAAACATTCTGGTGTTGCTTACAGAAACTGCCTCTCCGTTAACCCTTATTACGTTCTTGGCAGGACTAGACTTCCTGTCTCAGGAACCTCTCTGGAGTTTTTTTCCCCTCCTTTGCTGGTACTTTGCTTGTGTGGAGTGACCATTCAAAGTTACAATGGCACTGAAAAAAGTGACTTATGACCATTTTTCACACTTACAACTGTTGCAGCATCCCCACAGTCATGAGAGGCCAGTCGAGGAGATGCGTGCCTTGATGTGAGTGATATTGAGTTGGCCATGCCCAGCCAATAACATGACCACCAAGCCATGTCCACCCAGTCACATGACCACCAAGCCACACCCTCCACCTAAGCCACACCCACAGAACCAGTTGTTAAAAATTTTGAATCCCACCCCTGGCGTCAAGGCCTAATTTTTCAATGAGTCTGCTTACTGAGGCCATACTGATATTTCTTTTGACCCACTTTAAAGATCATTAATATGTAAAAGGATAATTAAACTCTTCTTAATTAAGAACCCAGCACAATAAAAATGTACTACACAGCTATTTTTTTCGTGGGAGGGGGGTTGTTGGCTCACTAAAGTTGTACAATTTGTACAGACTCCCAGTTGCCAAAGGTGTCCGCAAACAATTCTCATAATGTAATCATTAGTTACGGTGCCATCCTCTGGAATAAGCCCGAAATATCATAATTAAGAAGACATCTGCTCAGTGTAAACTATCTTCCTATTCAAGCATTACCTGGCTATTTCCAGCCAGATCATACTGCAAATATTTCCTTTTATTATGTAATAACCTTCACAATCTATTTTGGAAGTTCATTAGTTTTCTACACAATTTGTTCTCTTGCTAACAAACATTGAACTGGATCATGGGAACATCATAAACTAAACAAAGTCATAGAATCCAAGCCAGAAAAGAAAACGAGGAAAAAAGAATTGTTCCATTTTCAGAATGAAAAGCTTTAATAGCAATAGCACTTAGTCTTACATACCGCCTCACAGTGCTTTACAGCCCTCTCTAAGCGGTTTACAGAGTCAGCATATTGCCCCCAACAATCTGGGTCCTCATTTTACCCACCTTGGAAGGCTGGAAGACTGAGTCAACCTTGAGCCTGGTGAGATTTGAACTGCCAAATTGCAGGCAGCTGGCAGTCAGCAGAAGTAGCCTGCAGTACTGCACTCTAACCACTGCACCACCATGGCTCAATAGTCCTCTATTGCTGAGGAATTCTGGGAGTTGAAGTCCACAAGTCTTAAAGTTGCCACGGTTGGAGACCCCTTCTCTATTGCCAGAGCTACCAAGTACGGGTAGTTTTGGGCTTACAACCATTCATTTAGTGACTATTCAAGTTACAGGCACTGAAAAACAACAACTTAGGTCAGGTCCTTACACCTAACAGTTGTTGCACGCCTGCAATGATCAAAATTGGAGTTCTTGGCAACCAGCACGTATTCACAATGTTTGCAGCATACTGGGGTCATGTGATCACTGTGTGTAACTTTGCTATCCAGCTTCTGACAAGCCAAGTCCATGGGGGAAAGCCAGGTTCACATAACGACCGAATGATTCACTTTACAAGTGCAGCAATTAACAACTGTGGCAAAAGCGGTCGTACATTAGGGCATGACTGACTTAACAAGCATCTTACTTTTAGCAATGAAAATTCTGGTCCCAATTGTAGATGTAAGTTTATGTCAGGTGGTGCTCCATTCAAAATTCAAGAAAGAAAAAACTTAGACTCTTTAGATTAGAGAAAAGGTATCTTTTACTGAAAGTGAAGTGGTAGCATCAAATAGAATTCTGAATCTAATAAATTAGGCGCGCAGATCACATATACAAAGTGTTGGAAACGTTCCCACCCTCATAGTCCAAATGAGTCTTCCAATTAAAAGTTGTGAATAGGGTCATGTGAGCATCTTCAGGTGGTGATGAAGCCTCTATCCGTTGACCTTGACATATTTTGATAAAGATTTGCAGCTGCGCAGAGAAAAGAAAACTAGACAAGGAATAGAAACTTAAGAGCAAGAATTTATACTCCCCCCCACTTCTCATTTACACAACACAGGAATGTAACACCTCCAGTTCTCTTCCCAGACATATCCCCTCCCCCAGTTACTTATGGCAGCCAAAAGATGCAAAGCAGTAGAAAAGATCTTGAAGGCTGACAGTTTAGGACTACCTGTGCAACTATTCTAAATGGCCCTGAGAATTGGACATGATTGAATGGATAGTGTTCTGACCCAGCCTTAGCAAGTAAAG